GTTGTCCTAACGGGTGACTCGCCCGCTGTTCTAACGGGTGACCCACCCGCTGTTCTAACCGGTGACTTGCCCGTTGTCCTAACGGGTGACTCGCCCGCTCTTTTAAGGGGTGACTTACCTATTGCCCTGGCGGGTGACTTACCCGCTGTTCCAACGGGTGACTTGCCCGTTGTCCTAACGGGTGACTCGCCCGCTGTCCTGACTGGTGATGGAACTGCGGCAGGTGAAGGGCCCTCTTCCGGAGTGTCCAGAGGCGACCGCTTGGCGCCCTTCTTCCTCTTCAATCCGGCGGTCGCTGCCTTGCCTGCAGCGCGACCGCTGGCTGCCTTCTGCGACCCCGGAGACGGGGTCCCCGGGCTTCTAGTCGGAACCCCCGCTGGGCTCGGCGTAGCAGAACCGCCCCCCCCTGTTGGGGCGCCTGGACTCGGTACGGCAGGAGTAGCTGCGGGGCGCGGGGCACTGCCCTGGCCCTTGCCCTCACCCACGGGCTTGGTACCACCCACTTGGATCGTAGTGCCACCGCCAGTTTTGGCTGCTCCGTTATCCACCATAACTAGTTTCGGGCTCCCCACCATTTTCGGACCTCCTGATGCTTTCGGGCTACCCACCATTTTCGGACTTCCCACCGTCTTCGGACTTCCCACCGTCTTCGGGCTTCCCGCTGCTGCTTTCGGGCTTCCCACCGTCATCGAGCTTCCCACCGTTTTCGGACTTCCTACTGCGGTCGGGGTTCCTACTGCCTTCGGGCTCGCTGCCTTCGGGCTCGCTGCCCCCTTCTTGTTCTTCTTCCGTCGGTCGCCATTCCCGGCCTCCGCAGCCCTACTACGTTCAGCACCCTTTAGGGCAGAAGCTTCAGCTGTCGTTCCAGCCTCGACGGCCACCGGAGAAACGACGCCTGCACCTTCGGCACTGGCCGGTTTGACGGACTGCTCCGCCGGTCCCTCGCCTCTGCCGCCTCTTCGACCCCCCTTGAGTGTGACCTTGCCGGTGTCCGTAGGCTTGCCAGAGTCGGCGGCCTTGTTGGTGTTCTTGGGTGGAACCACCTGGGCCGAAGCCTCCTTCGGCGGGCTGTCTTTAGCGCCGCCGCCCCTGCCGCTCCGGTCCTGAGCGCTCCTATCCTGCGCGTTCCTATCCTGCCCACTACGGTCCTGCCCGCTACGGTCCTGCCCACTACGGTCCTTCCCACTGCGGTCCTTCCCGTTCCGGTCCTGCCCGCCCCGGTCCTGCCCAGGACGGTCGGTCGGTGGCAGCTCGTCGCCCTTGCGGCGGTTCCGGCTCGCGGTTCCGCGACCAGCCGGACGACCAGGGTCCTTACCCGTCAGGCTCTGGCGCCGTCCGGAGTCGTCGCCTCCCGCACTCTCCACTCTCGGCCCCCGGCCGCCTCTGCCACCGCTGCGGCCGCCCCGGGTTCTGGCTTCGTTGCCTGGGCCTCTGCCCTCAGTCTCTCTAGCGCCAGACGCTCTCGGGCCAGACCCTCTGGAGTCCCGAATTTCTGAGACCCGGGTCCCGCCTCTGCTCTCTGAAACCCGGCCCGTCTCCGAAACCCGGCCCCCGGCCCCGGCGCCTCCGACTCTTGCGCCTACGGTCCCAGAACCCCGGGTGCCAGAACCTCGGGTGCCGGAGTCTCGGATCCCGGAGGCTCGGGGGCCTGCCGTCTTGCCCTCCGAAACCGGTGCGATGTCCGAGAGGGGCGGGAAGTCCTCGTCGGACTTGCGATTCCGCGTTCCCCTCCTCGGCTTCAGCCGTTCCTTGCGGGCCCGGATGTCTTCCAGCGTGCCCGGCGAGGGTTCGTCGAGGACCTGGCCCGACTCGGGAATGACGATGCCGGCGTCCTTCAGGGCCATCTGGACCCTCACGTTCTCACTAACGGGCTCCGGCAAGGCCGCCGTGTCCCGCTGGAGCGCTGGCTCCGGCTGGACCGCTGGTTCCGGCTGAGCCGCCGACTCTGGCTGGGCCGTTGCGTCTAGCTTGGCCACTGGCTCTCGCTGGGCACTTGGCTCCGGCAGGACGCCAGGGCCCGGCTGGACGACTGGTCTCAAGTCGGGATCGCCGACTCGAGGACTGGAGCGGTCCCAGTCGGAATTGGTGGAGTAGTGCCGTGGGTCGCTGAAGGCCGTAGGCGGCCACCACTTGTAGCCGTCGCTGGAGGAGTCGGTTGGCGGGAACACGGGGCGAGAGGAGCCGCTGCGGTCGCGGCTTTCGTCGTCGCCGCTGAAGGCACCGCCGGGTCGGGCGACCTGGGCCTGCGCCCAGCCGTGGGGCGGCTCCACGCCGGGCGGGAAGTACATGACCAGAGGGCCCGTACCCACCTGTGTGGGCGGCGGTAAGAAACCCGGCTGGCCCGTATAGCTGCCGAACCCGCCCCGGTTCAGGTCGCGGTCTCGCGGCCCG